GAGCGTCGTCCTGTTTCTCAGCTGCTGGGGAGGACAGTTCTCTGTCACCTCAATCTCAAGAGGACCCCTGCCTTTCCTCTTGGCTAGCTAGGTTAATTTCCACACATGTGAATTTCGGAGCATTCCTTTTGCTATGGATTTCTAATTTTATCCCATTGTGGTCGGAGAAGACTCTGTGTGATTTCAATCCTTTAAAATCTACTGAGACTTGTTTTGTGGCCTAGTGAGTGGTCCATCCTGCAGCTTCCTGCATATGCCCTGAGAGGACCGTGTACCCTGCAGCTGCTGAAGTCCTCTCTGTCCTCGTCCTGCTTCTGTCTGGACGTTCTAGCACCTGAACATGAATGTGGAGCACTGAGGTCTCCAACAATGTACTGGATTGTCTATTCTCCCTTCATTCTGTCAGTTTTTGCTTCGTGTATTTTGGGGCACTTTTAACAACACGTAACTTCCTCGCCTCTGCCAGTGACACCCCGAACCTCTCAGGGATCTGGGGTCTCCTTGAAAATGTGATGGGTGCTAGGAGCCTTTCTCCAGAAAAGTACCCAGACCTCAGGGGCTGCAGCCCCGCCTCTTGGGGCCCAGGACTGCTGAGGCCGGGCGGCCTCCTGCAGCACTGGGCCCCCTTCGTCCATCACACCCTAGCCTTGCTGTCTCCCTCCTGTCTCCTGAACATGTCAACCCTGTTCCTGCCTCAGTGTTCCTTCTTCACGTGCTACTTGCACGGCCGTCCCTGACCACCTCCAGGGTGAGCCCCTGCTCACGGGCCACCTCATCACCCAGCGAGCAGGAGCAGCTGTCCTCCACCCTACCCTCCAGCCTCTCTCGGGCCTCTGCCCTGTTTTGTGCGTCCCAGTTGGATGTGATCTAAGGTGTCCATCTGTTGTTTGTCTCCTGCTACCATGAGGCCCTACCCTGTCTGTTCTGCTCACAGCTCATACACCCCACACCCAGGACACTGCACAAAAGATGCTCAGCAAGTATCTACTGCACAAATGGAGCCTGTCCTCCGCCACAGCCCCTTTGGTGACCTGGAGAAGAAAGGGCACCTGGCCAGACAAGATCAGATACTCCTAGACCCCTGACCCCAGGAGACCCTCAAATCCATGCTCTGAGTCTATTCTAAGACCCACCCCACAGGCATGTGGCAGGCCTCTTGGTCCTGGAAAAGCGGGGAGGCTAAGGCCTGCAAAGGACAGCACAGGAAGATTCCCCAACTGGGAGGACATTCCAGAAGCTGCTGGAACTTCCTGGTGGGTCTGAAACAGCCGACTCAGAAGCAGTGAGGAAAGTGACGCCAGCAACTCTCCTCAATAGGAACTAGGGCAAGGAAGCAGGAAGACAGACTGCAAAGCGAAGTCACTTCTGCTTGCCTTTGGAGCCCACTTGACAGCTAAAAACCCTCCACCACTGCCCATGCGAGAAGCAGCCTGCCCTCTGCTCCTGCCGGGGAAGGCCTGCGCTTGCTGTCTGGGCCTGGCTGCCTCGTGCTGTCTTCCCCCAAAGCAGGAGAAGGCCTGGTGTGCAGCAGCTCCCCTTCAACCCACACAAGGCCAATGCCAGCTCCACAGACACTGTCCTCGGACACAGCAGCCTGGGGGGCAGGACCTCTTCCATGTCAAAGTGGTCTGGGGGGCCACCCCTCGCCCCAACCAAGGGAACAGCTCTTCAGGGGTCAGGCCTTGCAATCCCAACTCCGTGGAGCCCAGAAGGCTGCAGCCAAAGCTCAGGAGCCACTGCTCCAGGGACTCCTGTGAGGAGGACTTTAAGAGCAGGCTCTCAGGATCTGCGCCTCTGGGGAGGAGCGGGGACAGAGCAGGGTGTGGAAGCCCCATTTCCTCCTCTGCTTCTTCCCACAGCAGAAGCCACCACTCAAGGACTGGGGCTTTAGGATGACACCCCGGGGACGTTGGGACCAGCACCCTTTAGGGATGCCATGACGAAAATATGCCCAACGAACACTTACATGAGGAGGCCGAAGAGAAAGAAGACCAAAGAGAACACTTCAACTTATTTTTCTGGCGCTGGTGAACGAATGAAGTGGACGGCGGCCAGGCCACGGCCTAGCGAGCAAGCCCGCCCTGACTGCGCGCTGCAAGGTGGCCTGAGTCCCGCCAGTGGGCGGGACAGGCAGCGCAGTCCTCTCCCCTCAGAAGACACTGGAACCTCAGGGGAAGCAGCTCATTCTGTGAGGTGCATATAAGTCCCTGTTGCCAAGTACAAAATAGGAGGGAACGCCTAACCCAGGATGGGACCACAGGTGTGAGAAGCTTCTGATCTTGGTGTAAAGGATGAAACAACGAAAATTACGATCGTTAACTGAATCACTTTGCTGTACACCTGAAACCAACACAACGTAAATCAACTATATTTCAATAAAAATTTTAAAAATCAATAAGTACAATTATGACTGTAAAAAATAAAATAAAATTAACGATCGTTCACTTTGCTAAGGCTTGCACCCTTCGCCCCCCCCCCCCAAACGGGGCCCCCC